GAGTGAATCCAAGGCACGTCCCCCCCCCAGCCTCACCGCGCTGAGCTTGCCTTCCTCCTGCGAGCTGCAGGCTGCTCCCTGTGCCAGGTGGAAGGGGCATCCTGGGGATGCAGTGCCTCACCCGAGACCCCCTCAGCAGCACTGCCATGGCCTGCCACCCACCCGGGATGCCGGTGTCCTGCCTGCGTTTTGTGGTCGTCCCGCATCCAGACCCCAGGGGGTCCTTCCTTTCCCATCCTTGCTAGGAGGTAGGGGTCTTCTGCAGGGGCTCCGCAGCCCACGCAGGCGTGATGTGCCATACGGGCGGCCGGGAGAAGGCAGGGACGAGGAGGGAGCTGCCTCTGTGCTGGCCAGGGAGAAGGGGAGCTCCCAGCAAGCTTTCCTCCAGCTTCCCTTTGCTTTCCCCTGCGCCCGCTGCTCCCTACATGGGTTCTCCCTTCCCTCTTGATACGAGGCCTTATTCCAACCCGAGGGGACTGAGGCTGCCCGCAGCATCTCTTTGCACTGAAGGCTCCATCCCGCGCTGCCCGCGGGGCGCCCCGGGGCTGTGCTGCAGAGCTGGCCTCTGCGGGGACGGTGCAGCCACCCCCAGCCCATCCGCGCTCTCTCCTCCCCGGTGCCAGCGCTCTGCCTTCTACCCCCGCTGCCCGGGGGCCTGGCCACGGTAGGGAAATCTGCTTTCACGGGGTTAAACCTTTTTACTTCATTAATTGCTCCACGAAAACTGATAGCTTTGCAGGGGCAGTACGTGGTTGCTACCTCTCCTCTTGCCTTTCTGTAGGAGTGGGGGCAGCTGATCTGCTCTTTTTTGGCCTCTGTAACCCTCTCTCAAACTTTTTGGAGGTTTTTAACATCCTCCAGTGAGATGTAATCTCCGTGGAGCCGGAGGGAACACAGGCAATAGAGCCGGGCAGCCTGCTTGCCGCCGTGGCGAGTCGCTTGTGAGGTGCGTGGGCTGCCTTGGGTGGAAGGTGGGACACCGTCCCGGCAGCGCTGGTGTGCCGCCGGCTGCTCGTCGTAGTTGGGAGAGGATTCTGCTGTACTTTTTTCCTGTCTGTAGGTTTTATTCAGACAATATGTAATGATTGAGTGATTTACAATTCAGTGTTAAGCTAATGAAAACGTTGATAATGGTGATAATAAAACCTTTCTTTTTTTTTTTTTTTCCTACGGTGTGTTGGAGGGTTTTTTTTGTGGAGCGTCTCTGTTGCCACCACCAATATCTTCAACTGAAGATTTCAGCTGGCCCATCCCTTCTCCTTGTGCCTCCTTGAGCAAGAGCAGCTCAGCCTGGTGTGTCCCAGGCTCCTTCCTGGTGCTTTCCAGGGAAGGGCCCTCCCTCACTGAATAAACCCCGGCTTCAAACTTGCATTTCCCTGCGCCGTTTCCAGATGTAATTTGGATGGGGGCATCTCCAGGCACAGAGCTAAGCTTGCTTCCAGCTTGTACTCTGCTCACTACCCCAGTTAAAAGCCTTCTGCTCCTGCTGCGCTCTTCCCAACAGCCTTCATGGTCAACACTGCCCATTAGAGATTGGTTTTGAAACCCTTGAGGTGAAAATGCGGCTGGCAGAAAAAACTACCCCTGCCCCAGGCTGTTGGGAGTAGCCGGAGTCAGCGTGGGTGCAGGGGGAGCCTGGGCACCCTCGGGGAAGGAGACCTGTGGGTGTTACTGCGTGTGCAGGTACTGCCTGGTCCTGGATGGCCCCGAACTGGGAGCATTTGGGGGCTCTGGTGTGCCTCCTGCTGTGGGGGTCTGCGGGAGGAGGCGGAGAGAACAGGCAACATTCCCCAGGGAGCCATCACAAGCCCTTTTCCCGTGGGAATTGCGAGGGATCACAGTGTCCCAATTCACTGAGAGTTTCTTGAAAGTTTTTCTTGTGCCTCCAAATCCCTCTGCAGGTCACTGGGGCAGGACAGAGGGGCAGGGCAGCTCCTCACCCACCCCCCACTACAGCCCCGGGGGGAGCAGTGGTGCAGGAGGAGGAGTTCTCCAGCGGTGCGAGTGTCAGGGAGGTGGGGGCAGCCCAGCCCAGTGTGGCACTGGGGACGAGCGGCATCTCCCACCCTCAGACCATCACCAGCTTCCGAAAGCAGGAGGGGGCTCGGGCAGTCACTAAGCACCTAAGCTCCCCAGCAGCGCTGCCTGGCAGCTCGGGCTGCACAAAATCAGCAATAAACCCGAGCAGGTGCGCTGCTTTCTGCGCCATCAGCTCATTACCAGCTCCATCCTCTGCCCAAGACAGGCTCCACGGTGCAGACATCGCACCATCAGCCCCGGTGCCCCTGCCGGGCTTTGCCTTTGCGTGGATGTGTAGCCGTCCCTGCGGCGCGAGCGTGGAACCACCGAGCGCTGGCAGCACCGCGCTGAATGCGGAGGGAGAGCGCAACGCTGGCTCAGCCTCTGGACTGTGGTTGCTCTCCCACTTCCAGCTCCAGAAGAGGTGGGTTTCACCAGGACGATGCCACGCGGGCTCTGACTTGTGCAGGAAATCCGTGAGAGTGGAAGGAGGGTGCAAGGTGCCGGCTCCATCCTGGCTACTCGGAGGGTGTCCCGGGTTCAGCACGGAAAGGGCGAGAGATCTCTGTCGGCGGCACAGACACCACAGCTCTCCCCGGCCTGGGGCTGACGGCCTCGGTGAGGGTGGGGGGAGATGGGACACAGCAACAAAGGAGCTGAGCTGGTGGGATCAGCATGAAACGATGCTGCTGGGAAGCCGATGAAAGCCTCATTTTTTTTAAGCCAGTTTTATGTGCTCACAGCTTGTTCCCCCCCCTCCCTCTTCCCCCTTCTACTTAAACTAAAGCTGACACAGCTGGTCCAGATTTGGGGCCACTGGTGCAAAGCGATGCAGCTGCGGAACACCTGGGGGGAACCGCGGGTGGGACAAGGGGATGGACTGAGGCCGGGAAGGGCTGAGCATCTTCCCTGAGGGTCCTGCTGCCCGGGGGGAGGGAGGATGGATCTAGAGGTAGAGAACCTGGCAGGGCGCAGGCAGCCCCCCCAAATAAAGGCACTGGGCGAGGAACTCCCCTCACCTGCCCGGGCAGTGCAGCAGCCCCACTGCAGACCTGCGCCGCTGGCACTGCTCCGCTCCTCTGCCGGCCAACCCCGGCAGCTGGAGCTCCTGCCCATCCCTGTCCTTGCCCACTTGGGCATCGCCTGTCTCGAAGCCTAAATCCCTGCGGTTTCGGAGTCTGGAACAAGAAAGTCCCAGTCGTAACAAGCCTTCATGGATCTGGGGTGACATCAAAGCCCAAAGCTGCCTCCAGCGAAGCTCAAGCACCAGGAAAGGTTGGAAACATGAAGATCACTGGCCAGAGAGGGTGGAGGAGCCCAGGGCATCCCTGTGGGGGCAGGGGGGGGCGGGCAAAGACACCATCCCATAATGGGCAATGAGAGCCAGCTGCTCTGGGACAGCCACTCTGACCCCCTCCTCCCCCCAGTGCCCAAACATCCCAGCAGACATCCCCAGGGACGATATCCCTGGATATAAACACTGCCCGCAGCCCTGTGGCAGGGGAGCCAGCCTGGGCACACGGCAGCAGCCGGGCAGGGTGGGGGTTTTGGGGCTTGGACACATCTCTCTGCTCACCCTCATGACAAATAACCAACCACCACCAGCTGGATTCACCTTTTATTAAACTGCCCAGAACAAAAAGAGGAGAGAGCAAAGCTTGTCCTGAGGCCTTCCCAATGCTGGCGCTCTGCATGCCTTCCCCACTGGGAAAAGGGGATTTTCCTCCGGGAAAAGCCCCTCAGAGGGTATTTTAGGTAAAACTAAGAGTGGAAATGTCCCTTTACTGG